ATAGCAAGCAAATTCATCCCCTCTTCTTACACAACTCTAAGGTGACAAACTCATCATACTGACTTAGATAGACCTTGTATGGGAAAAGAAACTTACGTTGATTATTCATTCGTAAAACATGCATCAGGGTGCACCATGCAACTCTCTCACTCAATTGTACGAAGAGATAGCACCGTTGTGCTTTGTGAAAAACCCAATCGTTCATGGGAGTAGAAGTGTCCATGTACCCTCATCTAGCATAGTGCTCAATTATTTCTATTGTTGTTAACACAACATCATTAGGGTGAACAAAGATAACTAGTTGTCCTGCTGTTGGTCCATAAACCTCTGATTAACTACTCATCGAAAACCTCCTTCGACAACTTTGCTAAAAAACTTGTTCATTCCGTCGGTTCAACCTTTCCACCGAGTGTTCATGGCTGTTGCAGTCCTCGTTCCAATCTCACACTATTTCCCGTTTTGCCACACACACACACCAAAATATAGTAAAAATAAAATAATCGTACAAATCGAGAAAAAAAAAAATCCACTTTCCCATAATGTCCTTGAGTCTCTTTCGATGTTTTTTTTTTGCACTTTCTGCTGCCCTCGGCCCTTCGAATTTTCACCACACTTTTGATAGATCTCGTTTTCTTGATTTGTCACTAAATCCCTCTAACATTTCTTTTTTGTGCTTCTCACCGCCTTCTGCCTTTTTTATTTTCACCGCGCTTGGTCGTCCTATCTTATCTACATTGCTATGGAAGCATCTTACCACCCCACTGTTCCAGGTGTTATTCTTCCTACATCAACAGGGAAAAAGTTTAGTTTTTTTTGTCACAACAATATTTAAGTTCCTAGTTCTTTGCACGCCATGTTGCACCTTGTCTTGTTCTCATTTAAAGAGGTAGGCATTTCATTGGTATTCCTCCTAATCATAGAGGATTTCAAGTTTCAGCTCTTTCATCCCATGTGCAACTTGTTCACCGAATACTTTTGCGGGGAGCCCCTGCCTTCTATGTTTCAATTTAATGCTAAGCAGCGTAGGTCCGACTTCCACTTTCTTTAGTATGTGGTCTCACACTCTATGTAGGCACCCTTGTAGCCCTTGGAAAATCAGCCCCTCCCCCTTCCTTCGATTTGGCCCATTGGCAGTTGGTAACTACACATGATACCTCTTGGGGGTAAGTTATCTCAGCCATGCTGCAATCCAAAAAAGCCATTGCATTTTCGCCTCATCTATTCGTACTAGTGTTAGGTGCTCTTGGTAGCACTTTTCAATAGGGCGTATAACCTCTCAGTGTACGTATATAATAGACAACCAATCATAGGCTAGTAACATTGTTCCCTTAGGATTTCTATAACTTGCTACAATACCACCCCGATAGCCACAACAAATGTATTTTCCCAAATCACCCCAATAGCCACAACGAATGTATTCTCCCAAATCATACTTTGTGAGAAAGTTAATGATCACTAACGATATTGACTACTATCCCAACTCGTCTTCTCCCCTATCAAATGTGGCTCCTTTTCCATTCCTCTTCACCCGTATATGATTCCATCTGTTTTCTTCATAGAACTCAATTGCCCACTCAATGGCCATCATGAGTCATGATGGCTTTGTGGGGCAGCTCCGGCAACATATCCTTGATGTCGAAGCTAGTGCTCAGGATCCCCCACTTTCGGCTCTTCCTTCCTCCTCCTTTATTTGCTTGTTATATTTTCCTGAGCAATTGTCGAGTAGGTTGAAGTTCAAATTATTTAGTAGAGTCTTCCTACTAATTGACATAGCTTCCCACTTGGTTCCCTGTAGGAGGGACATATAGGCCTCCATTTGGATATATGTTTATGATTCGGTGCAATGTTCATCCAACGATCTTCCCATAGCCATTCTTCAAATACTAAATCTTGCAAGTTACAATAATATCCGTTAAACTCTCGATCTAAATTCTAAATCCTACATTTTTATGGTTTAGACTCTTGAGCCTTCCTATTAGTTTACAAAGCTTCCCACTTGGTTCCCTGTAGGAGGGGCATATAGGCCTCCATTTGGATATATGTTTATGATTCAGTATTATGTTTCATCCAGCGATCTTCCCGTAGTCGTTCTTCAAATACTCAATCTTGCAAGTTACAATAACATTTGCCGCACTCTCACTCTAGATTTCAAATCTTACATTATTTATGAACACCATCTCCATCGCTTGACTCTATAGCATTGGACAACATATAAGAGTGTCCCGTTGGTTATGGTCTATTGGTATGATCGTCAGACCTCGTAGTTCTTCCCTCACTGCCATAACATCCTTGACCCCAAATCCTCGCATGTCACGTGCCTTTTTGTTGTAACACTTGTTGAGTTGTAACTACTTGAAAAACTTCAACTTGTCACAGCCAAAGCAACTAAATATTGCTTCATTGATATGTATGGTAAGTCGCCACCTTGTCCAATCTCAGGTCGCAGGATGTTTCTTGAGTTTTCCATTATGTGTGGAATCTAATATGAGCTTGAGAAATGGAAGCGTACTCAGTCATTGTCTTCTTTTGGTAAGCTTATCTTCTTGCACCCACATAAGCTCTCCAATTGTTCTCTTGTTGCCATTTATCTCGTGATCGTATATGACATTCCGATTTAATCTTTCTTTCGTCCATACGACCCTCATTCTCTTGCAAATGAACTTGGCACATGTGATGCTCACACGTGCCGCTTATCTTCCTCTTGTAGATTTTGGTAAGCTGATACAAATTCAACCTCTTGCCGTAGGTCACCTTCTCTAATACCCTAAAGCAAAAAGCGGGTCTCGCGTGATGGGCCCACGTGAGACTCCGCAGGCTGTCGCACAGTTCTGTCGAAGCGGGTAGCGTGGCGGGCCGATTGGGTGGACCGTCGGGAGTCGTTCGGCGGAGCGGGCCGGTAGTGTGGCGGGCCGGTTGGGTGGACGTCCGCAGGCTGTCGCACGGTTCCGTCGGAGCGGGGCGGTAGCGTGGCGGGCCGGTTGGGTGGACCGTCGGGAGTCGTTCGGCGGAGCGCGCCAGGAGCGTGGCGGGCCGGTTGGGTGGACCGAGGAAGCAGAGCGATGTGTTGGGTATGGTCGGTCGCTGTCGTGCAGTGCGGTGCGGTGCGTGGGCCTGCGGTTTTTTTTTTTTGCCCGTCGCGGGGGACCAAACTATGTTATCGGAGCGTTGCTTTGAGGGGATCAACGATGGCCATGTGTGTGTGTGTGTGTGTGTGTGTGTGTGTGTGTGTGTGTGTGTG